AATTTGAAAAATAAGTATAATTTAATTGATAATAAGAATATTTTGAATAAGTATATTTTAATCTTAATAAATAATATTTAATATAAATGTGAATTTGAAAATGAAAAAACTTAATATTTAACATAAAGATGAATTTGAAAATGAAAAAATACTAATTATAATAAATAATATGTAAATAAACATGAAAGAATAATTATAATAATAATATTACTATTCTTATTTTTGTTCGAAATATTATAATTATTGATAATATTATTGATATTTAGTGTTTTTATATTGAGGAGTGTTTTTATATTTAGGAGATATAGAGATAAGGAATAGGTAGAAAAAAATATGCTTAGCTTTACAATTATTTACATATAATATATTTATTCATATATTCATATATTTCAATATTTAATACAATACTAATACTACTTATACTTACTTATAAAGTAGCGCACCATACATTAAACACTAGCCATATATAAAATGTTTATTTTTTCATAATAAAGATTTAGAATTTTTAAAGAAAACAAAAAGACTGCAAAATATTATAAGTTATTATATAATAAGTACAGGTACAGTAAAATCTTATTTCAGTTCTGTACAGATACAGTAAAAATTATATTCAATTTTATAAGTAATTATAAGTTACATAAATAAGTAATTATAATTACTTATGAAATTAAATATAATTTTTACTGTACCTGCACAGAATAGTGCACCGTACATTAAACACTAGCCATATATAACATGTTTATTCTTTCATAATAAAGATTTAGAATTTCTAAAGAAAACAAAAAGACTGCAAAATATTATAAGTTATTATAAGTAATTATTATATAATTACTTACAATAACTTATAATTACTTATTTATATAACTTATAATTACTTATCAAATGAAATATAATTTTTACTGTATCTGTACAGAATAACGCCCCATACATTAAACACTAGCCATATATAACATGTTTATTCTTTCATAATAAGGATTTAGAATTTCTAAAGAAAACAAAAAGACTGCAAAATATTATAAGTTATTATATAATAAGTACAGGTACAGTAAAAATCTTATTTCAGTTCTATACAGATACAGTAAAAATTATATTTAATTTTATAAGTAATTATAAGTTACATAAATAAGTAATTATAATTACTTATGAAATTAAATATAATTTTTCCTGTACCTGCACAGAATAACGCACCGTACATTAAACACTAGTCATATATGTATAACATGTTTGTTCTTTCATAATAAAGATTAAGAATTTGTAATGAAAACAAAAAGACTGCATCAATTAAATACGACGGCGACAATGCAAACAGCTACCATGACAGAGCCGATGTCACCAAGAGCGATGACGGCAATGACGTATAAATATATGAAAGAAATTGTGCATACAAATGTAAAAATAAGTAACTGCATATTTAATTATTGCATCCTTTTTTGTTTACTGTATGCAGATCATAGACATATTAACATAGACTGCTCATAAGGTAGCGAGGAATGTCCTCCTGAGAGAAAAAGATAGCATGAATTTATTTGTGTTTCTATCTTTTTCTGGTACACGCTAGGTACACGCTGGTACACGCTTTTCTGGTGCAATGTAAAGATATTAAAGTCAATAACTTGAAATTGCATTACGCATGTGTCAGAAAAAGACAGATACACAAGTAAATTCATGCTATCCTTTTCTCTCAGGAGGATACTCTTTGCTACCTTATGAACAGTTTATGTAAATATATCTATGATGGAGCAAATATGTCTGTAAATAATACTTGGATTTTTTAAAATTTTTGAGAAAAGTTTATTATATTAGAGATGTCCAAAATTGTATTAAAATATTGTTAGGTATGGTCGCTAGTTGTAATATTGAAAAATATAATTAGAATATATTTATAATAATAACATTTATCTCTTATTTTTGTAATCTGAAAATCTATTATAATCATAAAATCTTTCATTTATTCTTTTAATTCGTATTTATTTTTAATTACTAATTTAATGTACCATATAACGCTAAGACACTTTATGTTTTGAGAAACTTATGTTATAAAAACGTATTTTCTTATTGTCTTATTTCATGTATTTCAGAGAATTAATCAAGTCGTGCATATAGTAAAAAGAAAAGTATGCAATAATTAAATATATATAATGAAACAATCGCGCATTTAAAATATGTGTTTAAAGAACAGCAAAATGTCAGACAGAAAATTATTTCAAAGAAAATTATACTTTTGAAAGAAAATTATACTTTAGAAAGAAAATTATTTGAAAGAAAATTATACTTTAGAATAGAAGAGGACCTACATTGAAAAATGTATTCTATTCTAAAGTATAATTTTCTTTCAAATAATTTTCTTTCTAAAGTATAATTTTCTTTTAAAAGTATAATTTTCTTTGAAATAATTTTCTGTCTGACATTTTGCTGTTCTTTAAACACATATTTTAAATGCGCGATTGTTTCATTATATATATTTAATTATTGCATACTTTTCTTTTTACTATATGCACGACTTGATTAATTCTCTGAAATACATGAAATAAGAAAATACGTTTTTATAACATAAGTTTCTAAAAACATAAAGTGTCTTAGCGTTATATGGTACATAAATTAGTAATTAAAAATAAATACGAATTAAAAGAATAAATGAAAGATTTTATGATTATAATAGATTTTCAGATTACAAACAATAAGAGATAAATGTTATTATTATTGTAAATATATTCTAATTATATTTTTAAATATTTACAACTGAGCGACCATACCTATCAATAATTTAATAAAATTTTGGACATCTCTAATATAATATACTTTTCTCAAAAATTTTAAAAATCCAAGTATTATTTACAGACATATTTACTGCATCATAGATATATTTACATAGACTGTTCATAAGGTAGCAAAGAGTATCCTCCTGAGAGAAAAGGATAGCATGAATTTACTTGTGAATCTGTCTTTTTCTTACACATGCGTAATGCAATTTCAAGTTATTGACTTTAATATCTTTACATTGCATCACGCGTGCACCAGAAAAATATAGAAACACAAATAAATTCATGCTATCTTTTTCTCTCAGGAGGACACTCTTCGCTACCGTATGAGCAGTCTATGTTAATATATCTATGATCTGCATGAAGTAAAAAGAAAAGTACGCAATAATTAAATATGCAGTTACTTACTTTCATATTTGTATGTACATTTTCTTTTATATTTTCATACGTCGTAGCCCCTGATGACATCGGCTCTGTCATTGTAGCTCTTGTCGCCGTCATATTGTCGCCGTCGTATTTAGTTGATGGTGTCTTTGACTCCGTAGACTTTTGCATTGTCGCCGTTGCTGTTGGCACCATCGTGGATGTTGATTTGCGACGATTCACCTCCGATTTTGCTTCCCGCCCTTTTGCGGATACAAGCGGAGAGAGAACATTTCTTATTCTCTCTATTGGTTTACTTCTTCCTGAAATCCTTACGGAAAAAAACTACAGTAGATTACAGAAAATTATATTGGTGATTACATAAAAATATTACACGAAATTACTGACTATAAGTATTGTAATATACTGTAATATTTTCGCACATGCTCGGATTACAGGAAAATATTACAGGTAAATAATCTGTAATATGTCATGCGCTGGGATTACAGGATAAAGCCCTGCGTACAGTAGAGGAACTATTAGGAATAAATATTAACTATAATATTAAGATTTTAAAATAAAATCGAAAAAAACTTTAATATAAAAGTATAAATTCGGGTATAAATATAAAGGACTTTTACAAATTTATTAGCCCTTCCTAGTCCTTATTTATACCCGAATTTGTATTTTATTTATATCAGAATTTTTTCGATTTTGTTATTTAAAAATTTTAATATTTAATATATTAATTCTTAATATTTTCTCTATTTTGTGCGCAGAGTCTAATAATACATCAACATAATATATTGAATTAAATATAATTGCTTATTTTTTATATAATTTGTTCAAAAACATCATCGCTGCATAATAAAAAAGGGCGAGGGCCCAAGCGATTGTTCGGCGGTCCTGGCAGCCGATAGCGCGATATCGCTTTGTCAGCGCAATTTAAAAACAGCGCTCGTCCTTCTCGAAAGATCCGAGGAAAATAAATAAATCTTTAACGCTCAATTTGAACGTTGAATAAGTAACTGCCGAGTTCTAGAAAAATCGGGATCTTTCGAGAAGGGCTCCACTATAAATTGACGCGCCCGCGGGACACCGCGCCTTTTGCTAAAAAGTCTTCAAAGCGCTCGCTTAAACTTCGATTATCGAAAAACGTCTTTCCGTCGCTCGCGGATTAAATTAATCGTCTCCGTTGCTCGCGGATTTCGAAATTCTGCTCGAATTTCCCGATTGGTTTCGCGTAATTGAAATTAAGATTGTGTAATTAGTATTTATATTTTTTGATTATAATAAATGACAATACTAGCAAATATACACATAGACTTATCGTCGACTTTCCTTTACTTGTGGACTCTCATCCTCCCGCGTCGCGCTCGCATCCCGCGTTAATCTCGCGAAATCTCTAACATTTGCTGGTCCTTCGAGCCGGATTTAGTGACCGGTTTTTTTCTCTACGACGCGGTGTGAGTGCAAAGTGGTGTGGTTTCTCTGTGCTCCCAAGATCAGTCACCTGAAATTCAAGTCGTCATGAGTTACAAGGCAGAGCTAATAATCACTGCCGCAACGGATCTCCACGGCAAAATCGCCCGCACTCACGAGAACCTGATGAAGCTGGGCGCTGCCAAGATCACGATGGGCGCCGTGGAAGCGCGTCTGCAGTCCTTGGAAAAGTATTGTGCTAAGTTTGACGCGCACAACGACGAGCTTTTAAATTACCGCGACCAAGTAGCCGGTTCAGAATACATAACACTCGACATACCTGCTTTGGCTGAAGAGGCAATGCTTACCTCGGCAATAAAGGGCTGCTGTTGGACCTTCTGCGTAGCCTCAAGACTGAGGAAAAGGAAGCTAGCACGAAGGTGTTAGAGCCGTCCTCACAAGCTCCTCGCACGACTCTTCCGAGGATTCAGCTACCTCATTTCTCCGGAAAGTACGAGGATTGGCCAGCTTTCCGCGACCTCTTCCAATCGCTAATCGGAAGGGACACCCTCACGTCATCGGTCGAGAAGCTCCATTAACTGAAGACGTGCCTGAAGGGAGAAGCAAAATTATTAATTCGAAGCCTGCCCACGACAAGTGAGAACTTCGAGCGCGCATGGGATGTTCTCGTTACCTACTATGAGAACAAGCGGCTCCTGGTGCGCAGTTACATCTCCCAGTTCACATCACTCCAGAAGCTGAAGAACGAGTCCGTGGTGGAGCTGCGCAAACTCTGCCATAGCGTGAAGAGCACCGTAGGCTCACTGGAGAGCATTGGGCGCCCGATCACGGAGGGCGAAGATCTTTTCGTGTACCTTGTCGTCGACCTGCTCGATCCTCGATCTCGCCGCTAGTGGGAGAACTTTATAAGTGATTCCAACGATCCACTTTCGTATGATAAACTGCAGCTCTTCTTGGATCGTCGGCTTCACACATTGGAATCGTTGCAGCCAGTCAAGGCCGAGGCCATCGCTTCCAAGCCGAATCCGAGTCTAACACAGAAGACCCGCACTCTCCACGCACGTAAGCAGGACGGTAAACGAGGTCGCTGCTCCCTATGTGTCCAGGATCACTATATAATGTTCTGCGATCTCTACCAGAGCAAGACGGCGGAGGAAAAGAGGCGTCACATCGAGACGAACGATTTGTGCCTGAACTGCTTGGGAAAGCACAAGGTAAGCGAGTGTACCTCCCAAAAGACCTGTTCGTTGTGTCGCGCGCGTCACCATTCGACCCTCCACGAGGCATGTTCAACAGTCGAAGGCGCTAAGACGTCGCACTTAGCGCAACATAAAACCGAGGCAACGATGTCAGTGCTCCTCGCTACCGCACGCGTTCGCGTCATGGACCGGTTCGGCCGCGTGCACACAGCACGCGCTCTGGTTGATCAGGGCTCGGAATCCTCGCTAGTTTCCGAGGCTTTAGCCCAGCGTCTTCGTCTGGGTCGGTCTCCTACCTCCGTCGCCGTATATGGAATCGGCGGCAAGCAGACGGGCCTTGCACGCGGTCAGGTCACTCTCCAGATCCGCTCTCTGTGCGACGGGCCCTTAATAAACGTGACCGCCTTGGTCTTCCCCCAGCTCACCCTCTACGAAGGCGGAATCAAGGCCGATCGTCGAGCGTGGACGCACATCCATGGACTGGAACTCGCCGATCCGGATTTTTTGGCAACGGATCCTGTGGACATTCTTCTAGGAGCTGACGTCTACGCCATGATCCTCCAGGAAGGACGGCAGGGGAAATTGCGAGAACCTGTGGCGCAAAAGACGGCGTTGGGCTGGATATTGTCTGGGGCCGTCGGTACGACTTCCACATCGCGCCATGCTTCGGCTCATCATTGCCTAGTCGAGGAAGATCTGGGCGCTCTCGTACAGAAGTTCTGGCAGCAAGAAGAATTATCCGATGCCGCTGTAGCTCTCTCGCCCGAGGATCAAGAGTGCGAGAACTTCTTCCGCCAAACACATTTGCGGTCCGCGGACGGCCGGTACGTCGTACGCCTGCCGGTCGTTTCCCCGCTGCCAGACTTCTCGGCAATGCGCTCCACGGCGCTGCGAGTTCTCTTCAGCATGGAGAGACGTTTCGCTCGGGATCCTCCCTTTCATGCTCTCTACGCGGACTTCATGCGGCAATACGAAGACTTGCACCATATGTCTCGCGTGACTCCGGACGCCACATCACGTAGGCCGGTGCATTACTTGCCGCATCACGGCGTCCTGCGAAAGAGCAGCGTCACCACGAAGCTGCGCGTGGTCTTCAACGGTTCAACGCCGACTGCCTCGGGCAAAATCTTGAATGACCACCTAATGGTAGGCCCGAACTTGCTGCCTCCGCTCGCCGACGTGCTACTCCGTTGGCGACAGCACCGTTTCGTCCTAGCCACCGACGTCGAGAAGATGTTCCGGCAGATCCTGGTGCATCCGGACGATAGAGATCTGCAAAGGATCCTGTGGCGTGATTCCCCGCAAGGCAGCCCTGCGGAATATCAGCTGAGCACGGTGACCTACGGCCTGGCGTGTGTGCCGTTTCTAGCAATGCGCGCTCTGAGACAATTAACCGAAGACAAAGGAAAGCAGTACCCTCTGGGAGCGGCCGCGCTTCTACGAGACGTCTACATGGACGACATCTTGACCGGAGCGTCGACGATTACGGAGACCCAGGAAATGTGCAGCCAGCTGTCCAGTATCTGCATGGCGGGCGGCTTTCCTCTCCGGAAATGGTCAGCCAACGACTCAGCTGCGATCTCGGACATCCTGCCGGAGCATCGGTTGCAGCGCGAGACCCGTGACTGGCGACCGCACGAGGCTCACTCCACCTTGGGATTGCAGTGGCACCCCGCCACGGACGACTTCTCCTTCGCCACCCGGCACATTGCGCTGCCATCCGTCACCAAGAGATCCGTGCTGTCCTTGGTGGCGCAACTATTCGACCCTCTCGGCTGGCTAGCGCCGGTCGTGGTCCGCGCCAAGATTGCCTTCCAATCAACTTGGCTTCAAGGACTCGAGTGGGATGCCCCGCTCGACGACGCCTCCGCGTCAGCCTGGGTCGCCTTCAACGCCCAGATACCAACACTCGAGCAAATCCGAGTACCTCGCTGGATCAATCTGAATCCATCTTGCACCCGCGTCGAGGTTCATGGCTTCTCCGACGTCTCAGAACGAGCGTATTCCGCCGTCGTGTACCTGAGAACATGGTCATCAAACGACTCGTGGATTGTCAGTCTAGTCACCGCCAAAACAAAGGTCACGCCGCTCAAACAGGTGTCGTTACCTCGCTTGGAGTTGAGCACCGCCGTGCTTCTCTGCCGCCTAGCCAAGCACGCCATGGAAATCCTCTAACTGCGCCACTTCACTTGTGGACGGACTCCACCGTCGCGCTGGGCTGGATCCGCGGCCATCCATCCAGGTGGCAGACCTACGTCACGAACCGCGTCTCCGAGATCCAGAGGACCACCCCGCAGGCTGCGTGGCATCATGTACCAGGCCAGGACAACCCAGCCGACTGCGCTTCCCGAGGTCTCTCCCCCAAGGAACTGCTGGGTCATCCGCTGTGGTGGCAAGGTCCGCCCTGGCTAAGGTTAGAAGCCGCCGCATGGCCGACTGCCGTCGATCACATCACCGAGGAGCACCTGCCGGAGAGGCACACCCGAATCCACGTCAAGGCCACAGCAACATCGACGAGCGAGGCCACCGAGTTGGTGCGATTCTCCTCCCTGAAGAGACTCCTACGCGTGACAGCCTGGTGTCGACGGTGGCTGAGAGTGAAGGAAGGCCATGCCACTTGCACTCACCGGAGCTTCCCCGGACTCCGTCCGCAGAAGAGATAGAAAGAGCTCGAGCTTGTTGGATCCGGCGAGTACAGTCTGAAAATTTCAGGACCGAATTAAAATTAATAAGTCAGGGCCTTGCACTCAATAAATCAAACTCACTTGCTCGCTTTACTCCCCTTTTTGATTCCGAGGGTCTCCTGCGGGTCGGCTCAAGCACTCCATCTTGGCCTATGACGAGCGTCATCCCGTCCTCCTGCCAAAGGGCTCGCACCTCACTCGGCTAATCGTGGACGACTGCCATAAACGAGCGTTGCACGGCGGAACGCAGCTCACTCTATCATTAATCCGCCAGCAATACTGGATTCCACAAGGTCGAGCACTTGTCAAAGAGGCTATCCTGCGATGTCTTCCTTGTGTGCGATGGCGGGCGGCGACCCCCCAACAGTTGATGGGCGATCTTCCACGAGAACGCGTGGTTCCAGCGAGGCCTTTTCTTCACACCGGGGTCGATTATGCCGGGCCAATTCAACTCCGCACAACCAAGGGGCGCGGACACCGCTCCTACAAGGCCTTCGTAGCAGTCTTCGTCTGCCTTGCTTCTAGAGCCGTACACCTCGAAGTGGTCTCCGATTATACGGCCGAGGCCTTCCTTGCGGCTCTCAGACAGTTCGTCTCTCGCCGAGGCATCTGTCGCAGTCTTCGGAGCGACTGCGGGACAATCTTTGTGGGAGCGGATTCTCAGCTGAAAGCCCTCTTCACCGCGGGCACGTCGGAAAGCCACCGGATCGTCGACGGCCTCATCTCCGAGAGGATCGAGTGGAAGTTCAATCCTTCCTCAGCACCGCACTTTGGAGGTATATGGGAGGCCGCAGTCAAGTCGCTCAAACATCATCTCCGACGGGTAATTGGCGACGCCAAGCTGACATACGAGGAGATGAGCACCCTCCTCACTCAAATCGAAGCGTGCCTTAATTCGCAGCCGCTGCAGGCACTCTCGGACGACCCTGAGGGTCTAGCTGCGCTGACGCCCGAACACTTCCTAGTAGGAGCCGCCCTGACTGCAGTGCCCGAACCGTCCTTGCTGGATCAACCGACGTCTCGCTTATCCCGCTGACAGCTCCTGCAAAAAATGCGAGATCACTTTTGGGAACGCTGGTCGAAGGAGTACCCCCACTCCATAACTCACCGCCCTAAGTGGTTGCGCGAAGAGACGCGCTTCAAGGTCGGTCGACTTTGTCTTCTCCGGAACGAGCTCACACCGCCCACGAAATGACCACTCGCGCGTATCACAAGAATCCACCCCGGAGAAGACGGTCAAGTTCGAGTAGTCATCGTGCGCACCGCCGCTTTCGAATTCGTACGGCCCGTCGTGAAACTCGTCATGCTACCCATCAACGACCGTGGGGATTACGAGCCTCAGCCGCAATAGATCGGATCGCACGACGGGCAGCGTATCCTCCGCCAGCATATCAATTTCGCCAAACGCTCTTGGCGAGGCGGGCGGAAATATTCAAAAACATCATCGCTGCATAATAAAAAAGGGCGAAGGCCCAAGCGATTGTTCGGCGGTCCTGGCAGCCGATAGCGCGATATCGTTTTGTCAGCGCAATTTAAAAACAGCGCTCGCCCTTCTCGAAAGATCCGAGGAAAATAAATAAATCTTTAACGCTCAATTTGAACGTTGAATAAGTAACTACCGAGTTCTAGAAAAATCGGGATCTTTCGAGAAGGGCTCCACTATAAATTGACGCGCCCGCGGGACACCGCGCCTTTTGCTAAAATGTCTTCAAAGCGCTCGCTTAAACTTCGATTATCGAAAAACGTCTTTCCGTCGCTCGCGGATTAAATTAATCGTCTCCGTTGCTCGCGGATTCCGAAATTCTGCTCGAATTTCCCGATTGGTTTCGCGTAATTGAAATTAAGATTGTGTAATTAGTATTTATATTTTTTGATTATAATAAATGACAATACTAACAAATATACACATAGACTTATCGTCGACTTTCCTTTACTTGTGGACTCTCATCCTTCCGCGTCGCGCTCGCATTCCGCGTTAATCTCGCGAAATCTCTAACATAATTTTTTATATATAATACACATATCCTTTGATGTAACGATATTATTATAAACTAATAATTTTAATAATCTAATAAATTAAATTTTTTACTTATCTGCTTAAAATAAAACTTATTTAAAATTAATCTTATTTAAAAAAATAATTAAAAAAATAATTAAATAAAATTCTTTGTTTATCTTTTATTGCAGTTATTTTTTAAAAATTCTGAAATCTAATTTTTAAACAAATTTTTTGAAATAAAACATTTTAAAAAATAATGAAAAAGTAATAAAAAAATGATCAAATAAAATTATTTATCTTATTGCACATCAGTTATCTAAAAAACACAAATTCTAAATAAATCTAACTTTTTAAAGTTCAAACAAATCTTATTGTATTAATACTGATTATTTTTATAATTTATTAGAATTTGTTTAACTAATATGGCTTATATTGGATTAATAATCAGTAGTTACCGATTTTATATTGCTTAAACAATTACTTAGCGAAGTCTGACAATTTCACCAATCACAAACTTTAAAAGTGTTATATATATATTGTTGAACTTATATATATAAGTTAGATTTCGCGAAACAATTGCTTAAATAATGATTATAAATACCGGCTTCAGAATCTTTGAGTTGGATGACTTCAACAGATTGTAAAATTAAATGTTTTAGATTATTGAATTGAATTGACGGATGTCACTTTTTTCTTAGCATTGTTGCACTTGCTTCGAACGGCACTATGGAACAATTTTGTATTGTCGTCTGTCTTGCCGAATTTCTCGTAAATAAAATCTGAAAAAGAAAACACAGAATGTAAAATCTCTTTCTATAACAATGTATCAAATTCAATTATGTACATATATTTTTGAATAGCATGCATAATTCAGATATTTTAAACTCAATTTTAAATATATTATGTATTTTTATATATTATGCACAAGTATAATGTTAAATTGCAAAATTTCTTACTTTCTACAGCTTTCAGCGAACAGGGTCTAATTTCTCGGTTGATTTTTTATCCGGATTTAAAGATTTATTTGCATTGGCTATAGATCCAGTCAAACTGGAGTTTCTTAACTCCGTTTTTTCATAAACCAAACTGAGAAGATCACAAGTTAGCTTCGAAACGCTGCTGTCATTGACCTTGCTCAGTTGAGTATTTGTGATATGTTTGAATCCAAAATATCTCCCTCCAGATATCACCTGAAAAATGTTTACGTGTAACAATTTCGTATATTAGCAGTACATTTAGATGTAAATATATGTCATTATAACATCAATTATGTATAATTATTTTACCTTTTCGGATGTCGAATTTTCTTTATTTTCATTATTACTGTCTTTATTAAAAAGACCGCTTTCATTAAAAGCAATGTTTTCCTGAAAAATTTATTTTATGTAATAATAGAATTTTTTATAATGTCAAAATACTCAAAGTTGCACGATTAGATACACTAATATAAAGACACACATATTTATATAAAACATACATTTATTTCAGATGTATGTGAGGGTTGATATTCAATTTTGGTATTTTTTATTATATCAGCATTAGTAATCCCAGAAATTGTAACCATAAACTTCTATATTAGAAAAATAAAATTGTTTAAAAATAGCATTTACAAATAAGCTCGCGCGTTGTCAATTATCTATTTAGATTATAGAATTAACAAAATTTCATGATAATTATGTATATAAATATGTAATAAACTATGTACTTTTTGTTTCAATTTGTTTCACATACATAAATTGTCTTTAAGTTTTATTTTCCTATTTTTAATACATAAGAATTGAATGATTTATATATATATGCAACTAATATAAAAAATGTATACTTTACTTTATCCATTGGATTCAAGCATTCATCATTCTGTGAACTGTTTTTCTCTGGACTGTTTTTTAATTACAATCAATTAATATATCAGTAGCCATAATTTTGGATTCATTTCTTAATTTATCATTAGTATATTGGAATCGATTCAATAATACTCCAACTCTATATAATATAAAATAATACCAAGATATAACAATTTAGTAATTACATACAAGATATTTGTGTATATATTCACCAAAACCTTTGATATCCCTTACGGAAAGAAACTACAGCCAGAAAATATTACAGTTGTATAGTTATTACAAGATCCCCTGTAGTTATTACAGAAAGAATTACAATAATCTGTAATTATTACACGCTATAGTTTATGACATTGCCGTCCTTTAAAGCGTCCATCCGCCCCGAGATTTTACGGGGCGCGGGCCGAGCGGCCGCGCCAGAATCAACCTCGAGAGAGTGTTATCGGAAACTCCCCGGAGAGACGAGCGATATCGTATCTTGTAAGAATTTTTATTAATTATATCGATATGTTTCTTTGTTTGTAATAAACAACGACGGGCACCTCACCAGAGAAGATCTGGAAGACCGGAAGTGCATCCAGGAAGATTGCCGCAAGACGCTTGTCGACAGCTAACGGAGGAGTTAATAGCGCTAGAAAGGACGATACCGGGGGAATTCGCCCGCGTCCCAGGGACGGAAGTCCGATCAACGCTACCCTCCGAGGAGGACAACGACAGCGAAGCCTCCAACGGGCCCTTGTACGGGAGCCCGCGGCAGCCACTACATAATTCAAATCGAATTAATTGCGCGCGAAGCGCTAAAAGCGCCGCGGATCTCGCGAGGCGCTAGGACCTCTCGCGTGCCGTATCCTGATTGGCTGCGCACCCCACTAAGCGGTCATTGACGCCGCTATCGACCCCGGGCCGCGAGATCCCAGGATCATTCTGGTGCGGACGCTCGCGAAACTAAGTCGATTGTTAGCTCTTGGTCGTTTGTGCAAGATTTGCTGTGATTGTCACCTCTGACGAGAAACCGAGCAGAGGACGAGGCCGAGGACCATCCCCACGGGAGAAAGCGTTATCGGTGAGGTTGCCCATCCTTTGTGTAAGCCACGTACGCGATTTCGTCCGCGTGCCGGCCGTTCTGCCGCCGTCGCCATCTTTTTCGTGTTTCGCGACCGCTCGAGCCGTTTGCCGAGACGGTGATATTTCGTGAATTTGTCGGGCGACCGGAGGCAAGCAACCGAGGAAGGACCATTGTAGCGTCGGTGATAAATTGATAAAGCAACGTTCGTCTCTCTCCGGGTTTCGGATGTTCTTTACGCGAAGCTATCGACCGGCGAATATCGACCGCGTGCGCGAATCGTGAAAGCGAATACCGCCCGGGTTGTCGTACCGCTATTGTCGCCGCGTAGAATATCCCGTGACGTATCTCAGGGCGATTTTTGGATGTCTGATTGCGTGTATGTCGTCGTTAATTGTAAGAGTGCGTCTGAGCGTTTTTGATATTTCATTATAGAGTGAGCGTGAAAGTATTTGCGTCATTGTCGCGCTTATTACGCCGCCGAAAAGAGCGTAATAAAGGATAACAGAATCTGGTCGTCTTTGTCGCGCTTATCACGTCGTCGAATAGCGCGTAACAAATGGTATGTAGTGTCTGCCGAATTTATCGTGTGTGGTGCGAGTTAATCGCCAGAATATTGAGAGTAAAATTGAGCAATTTGGGCGGAAGAAAGAGGCGAGATATCGGCGGAGAAAATTCTCCGTTTGCCATCGGCTATCGAAATTTGAGAGTATCGTTCGCCTATCGCATACGTGATCCGTCTTCGCAAAAGTATTCTGTATTTTCGGTTACTTAGGTTGTCGAATCAGTAAGCTGACGATTTGTTTCGCGAACTAGGAAATTGCGGGGAAGATTCCGTTGCGATAAGTTGTAGGTCTGGCTACCGAAATCACGCTATCTTTTGAATAATATCCGCGAATATTTCCGTGCCGAAAATCTTTGGTATCCCGTAAAGCCTCGCTCTGTTCCGCAAACTCCGGCCATAAAAACGGGCTCGGATGAATAATCGAATCGTCTTAACGCTCTCGTTTTCGTTGTCGAAAGCGGGCCGATACTTGTTCAGAATACCGTCGCGATTTTCGTGCCAGGATTAATTATATTGTATTTTCGCTCTCGTATTTCGTATGAATTTGTCGTGAAGCGTCGTTTTTTTT